TGTCTAAGTTCCACTACTTCTGGTGCTGTCTGGGTGTTGCCCTCAATCCATCATTGAACTCTTGGCATGCCCAGGGGCTTTGACACCTGTTGCTACACCGCAGCTTGCTATCTTGTTTGTTGGGGAGGCTCCTTTTTGAAGTCTTCTCATTCCTCCAGGAAATCCTGACTGAGGCCACGGGCCCTCACACTGGCAGGAAGCTTCCTGAAGATGGCCGCCAGTGTGCGTGCTTGGTACAGTACGTGTGGACACCGCTCCAAAGCGAGTGCCCGTCAGCTCCGTTTTGGTGTAACACCAAGCACCTGTGGGTCCCCGATACTCTGTCTCGCACCGACGTTTTCGCAATCGACTCTACAGTGTTTGTTGGACAGCTTTCGATCCATAACCCATTTGGAACTGCAGCAAAAAGACATGATGAGCTTGTCCACCACGAGCTTCGTTGAGCTTTGCTTCTATCAGGTTTGGGAGGCAGTGGCGCACTTCCAACGAAGTCATGGATTGAGCCATTTGCAAAACCAGAAATTGTCCATTCAGAACCAATAGAACGGTTATTGTCACTTCAATAGGAGTTCTATTTGCTTATCACTTATCACTTGTCGTAGAACAATGCGCTTTTGATGTAGCACTTTTATCATCTTTTATCTACAGTCCGCCAGCTACGCTCGGCTATTGCATCCGAAGCTCTGCTCTGGTTGCCCGTCCAGCTGTTTGGCCTGTGCAGCCACGGCCGGTTCAGTGCACAGACGGCTGTGGCGCGCAGCGGGTGAAGCCCGCCATCCGCCCCCGATGTTCAATGTCTTTGTTGCGACCTGGACTCCTGAAGCCCATCATTCGAAGCCCTGATTCGAGCCCCCTGCTTCGTCCGTTTGGCCATTCGGCTTTCCGTGGATCACAAGCTCGACCAGCCGCCACAAGAGTCTAGTTGGTTGGAGAGGTACTGTTGGCAAAGGGGTATTGCAATGTATTCTCTTGTTCAATAACCCCCTCATTTGGATGCACACACTTGCGGGCAACGTACGCTTCCACACCCCCTCATTTGGATTGTAACAATCTCTTCAACAAATATGGGGGTGTTTAGTCATAGAAACAAGAGTCTATTGGATAGCCGATTGACCAACAACGTACACTTGCAGGCAAGCCACTGGCGAGATAGGCACACCACTGAGTTTCCTTGGCAAATGCACAAAGCCTCTCCGCGATGCCATTCCCAGAGTTGGTTCAAGGGAAATCTCAGTCTTTGTGGTGAAGCAATGGTTTCCTGTAGATCTTCTCTTAAACCAATCGAATCCATGCCTTTCCCAATGACATTCTGGACATACTTTGGTGTGTTTGGTCGGATGGAGTTTCCCACAAAATGTTTGGAACTGGATCCTGGATTAACAGGGAGAATCCCTCGGACTACCCGTAATTAGCCAAGGCTCTGCTCCTCAAAATCATCTCCACCATCTTGGCCAGCTGCCTGATGGCGAACGGTGAACAGCGAGCAGCACAGGCACAGGCACAACGCACTGGAAGGAGCAGGTGCTTCTCCAGCACCTGAGAACAGGAGCCTTAACATCCGTTTGTTCATCTAAAAAGAATAATCCAAATCTCTGCAGGTTGATGACGGGAATAGAACTTTTTACAAAGTCATCTAACACATCCAACACTGCTGTCCGCCAAGTGAAATTGACGATTTGCGCAATAAGTCCTGCTGATCTTCAGAGATTGCCTGGTAAGTGCTCAACCCCCAGAGATGATTTAGTGATTGCCATAATCGGAGTGGTCGTTGAAGGGGTCTTCTCTCAAGACGAGCTATATAAATCAGCAATACTTGTGCAATATGTATCTAGGGGCCCCACTGGTCTTACCAAAAAAGGGGCGCCCCCAAAAAATTAATTTTGTCAAGAAACACTCTACAAATCTCTACAATACCTTGTGGCTTTTGCTACACGGACGCTCGCTCCTACCACCCGGGCACTCCTACCACGACCGCCCTGAGGCCAGCACTGAGACCTCGAGCTTGTGAGGCTCCTGACCGACTGGGACAAATGAGTTAAGATGAGATCTGCGGCGAAGACGTTTTGGGAGACAAGTCTTTCTTTGATATGGAATCCTTTCAGATTTGCCCACGGCGCCATGAACGTGAGCAACTTCGTTAGCAGGATGCAAGTGGGTTTGTTAACACATCCTTTCGGAACACATGTAGGGAAAGGTTTCTTAGATAACTATATAATCTCTCCTGGCTCTGTCTGCTCTTGAAAACCCTTGCTGTTGCCGTCCTCGTTGATGCTGCAGCAGCACAGCATGGCCACACACCCTTACACACACCTGCACGGACCCTTGAAAAAGTCTGCGCTGGTGATTGCCGGGTGCCTGGGTTCGATCACAAGGCACCGCCTCCGAAGGGGCCTTTGTGGCCTTTGTGGGTTGAGATGACCAACATCCAGGTGCACGTTCCATTCGTATCCCCGTGAGATCTTGGGTCAGGTGAGGGGATCCTAACGGTATCTCAGTCATGTCGAGCTTGGAATTTGTGGATCCTCTGGAGGGTGGGTGATGAGGATCAAGTTGGGGTTTCCTTCTCCGCGCATCGATGGGTTCTTCCTTTTTTCTCACCAAGTTGGCATGCTGCACACTCCTCAGCATGCGCAGGAGTCTCTCCATACAAGCGAGCCAGCACCCAAAGGTCAGACCAGGTACTGGACGGAGATCCACAAAATCGTAAATGGTCTTCCTCAGTGCGTTGCGCACGTGGAACTGGGTCTGGAACTTCCAAGCAGTTTTGGTGCAAACATGTCGCGAACATCAAAGGCTACTTGGTTGATAGACTGATTGAATATATCCAAGATCTCAATCTCTATGTACTTTGTTTCATGAACTTATAATCGAATCTAACTGTCTTCTGTGGACCCCTTAAGCAATCTGAGCATTCTGCACTGGACTTGGGTCACACCTTTAGCTTTGCACGACATTCATACATTTATATAGACATAATTTATAGAAACATGTTATACTATGTTATACTATATTACAGACGGAACTCCCGTGCTCTCACCATTGGATGTGCGGTATCTACCTTTCTATTGGATTCTATACGACTTGCCGGGCCTCAGCGGCCGGGCCTCAGCGGACGTGTGAGACACCTCGGCGACTTGACTCTCGCACTTGCTGCCAAAGCAAGTGATACATCTGACCCCCCCAGGTTCCTAAGGGGCAATCGACAGTACAAAGCCAGTATTTCTGATCTGTTCTCACTTTTATCAGTACTTATTCCATCCCAAAAAGGCGCCAAGGCTCACCTCTTCAACTCCCATCACCAAGGCTCATCTGCTCACTGAGGAGCCCTCGCAAGTTCTGCCAAAGCGTATCTGGGACGGTCTTCGCCAAGCTCCGGGCCACCTCATGCTGGCACCAGGAACTCAGGTCTCTCATGGTCTCTCGGTGCGCACAGTCCCCAGATAGATAAGACACATGCATCCCCTTGTACATGTAGATCACTACATGAGTGGGAACAGGCTTTCATTTGTCTTGTGTTCATGTTTTGTCTCTGCTACTATGCATGGCCGCCGTTTGCTGTGGCCTGCTTCAAGAACAGCTGCTTTGGCAGGTCAGATATGTGGTAATTTGAAGAGATCCAGAGCACTCTTCACCATTCAAAACGTCAACACGTCCGTGGCTGTATCGTATCACACTGAAAGAACCACCATTAATGCGTCTCTTTGATTTTGCACAGTTGACTCATGACATGAATGTCCCCCACCTTCATTGTCTTCTCATTCCAATCTCGGCTAACCTCTTGGACGACCACCATATTCATTGCACAGAAATCGTCGCTGCAGCGGAGCTCCGCCTGCGCACACGCACACTCTGACATTGGTTTTCAGTTATTCAATTCCCACGTGGAAGGAAGGCGAAAGAACGGCAAAACGAAAGGTCCAAAGAATTGAAGATGTTTGAACAAAAGGTTTGTGCACATCTGCAGTTCGCAAGAACAGCGGTGTCGAACGATCAGCGCGGCTGCACATCTGCGGTGGAAAAGTGGGTTTAGGGGAGGAAACATTTAAGCACCATGAAACAAACCGATCCAAGTGGACAGCTTGATCAAAAGTTTCGTTCGCAGGTACACACCGAGACGTCTCTCAGTGCTTCCCATCTCGCTGCCTAGCTTTGTTAGACCAGGTTAGCAGCGAGATGCCTGGTCCCCCTGCTGAAGAAACTCTTAGATACAGAGTGTGACACACACACACACACACGCAATTTGCGTTTCAAACATTAATTTTTCTTTTTGCTTTGAGAACATGTCCTTGCATTTGCTTGCAACCTTTTGCTGCCAGCGCCCACCCTCTGTGGTCTTGCCAAAACAGCATGGCACATCTGGCAACATGGTCACTTGTGAATTTTGTGAATCGGCTTGTCCCAACGTTTATAGTTTTGTATGTTGTCAGGCTAACAAGGGAAGCTAGGGGTGCTCAAGGGAAAAACTTGGGGGTGAAACTGCACCACCAACCTCGAGTCAGGCGAGTGTGGAATGGTCAAACTATAAACAACCAGCCTCATGCCGTTTTCTAAAACGTTCGCAGGAAACTTAAAGTGGCCTTCGGTCAGCTAGAGATGGGGTTTCAGCCTATTTGAGGGATGAGGTGAACAACCATGAAACACCACGCTAGAACAAAGGACATGTGATGACATGAATGGATCGAGCATGCAGAGTCTATATTGATTTTGCAAAAACACTATATATATTAAAAAACAATCATCTGTTGTGCTAATGCCAACAATTCCACAAATTCCTGCTTGCCCTTGGAGTCCGTTCAAAGGACGCACCCTCCCCAAGACGAGTGTGGAATGGTCAAGCTCTGAACAACCAGCCTCACGCCGTTTTGCAAAACGAATGCAGGCAACTTAATGGTCTTGCCCTTGGTCAGCGGTTTCAGCTCGTTTGAAGTAAATGAATAAACTGTGCGCCACCGAACGAAGGTATCAATGGGTGCTGCCCAGGCCCCATTGTGTGTCACCAATCACACACTGCGGCGCCGCAGGCTGATGCACATTGCATCGAAGCAGAAATCTCGTGCAGCCTCTAATGTAGACCATGCCTGCCTCACCAACCCAGTTTCCAGACGTGCACCGTCAGAAAACCTCACCGGGTACTGGCCTACCAGGTCTGGAAGCCGCTGCACCTTGGTTTCCACAGCTTCCGAGATCTCCACGGCATCCACGAAGTTTTGGGGCTTTTGAACAAGGCCTGCAATTCCAGCGGGGCTCCCTTCTTCGTGGGCTTGGTGAACGGTTGCTGGTCGCTGTGCCACAGAACGCAAGGCTTCCACCCAGGAATCCGACAGATTTCTCTTTGTATCTAAACTGGCGCCCAAACACGGGCCCCTCTTGAACCTGGAAGGATCACGACAAGGGGAGGACCAGAGAAGGACAAGAGGAGGAAAAGGGGAGAATAAGAGGAGGACCAGAAAATGACACAGGGTTCTGCCACAATTCTTGGCACAATCTTCAGCACCACTGGAGAAGAATGTCGACCAACCACATTAGTTTTCATCCCTTCACGCCAATACAAAACTCTAAAACGACCAAGGCAATGAGTCATAGCACCCTTTCATCTTTTTCCCCTTCACACACACACACTTAGATAAAGTGTGTTGACACAGGTGTTGACACACACACACACACACACTTTCTTTTCTTTTTCGTTTCATGTCTTGCCCGCCTTCATGTCCCGTCATCTCACTCCCTTTAATTCTTTTGCCCACACATCCATCCGGCCCTTAGCATGTACGCACGCGTTTACATTTTACCCGGTTTCAGGTCGCCCAGGTCTTGATAAGGAGGTTTGGTTCACTGGCTGTGGCGGATGAACATGAGTTACTGCTCATACATTAACACGCACAAAAAGATGTTACTTGTCTGTTTGTTTGTGTTGCAACCGTTGGTAGACGAATCAAGCTCTGCTGAGGATCTCAGCCTCTGTGAGGCCAATATATTGGTCAACGCGTCCGCGAGTTGAGCTCCTGAGTCCCAGCTTGGCCGAATGCCTTCTGACAGGTCCCTCTGCGCTTTTTCCCTTACTGGCGGTGATTGGTGGCACACGCCAGGTGAAGCGCAGGCCAGCACCAGCTTCGGCGCTGGAGCCGGGTGCACACAACAACCGTAGTGGGCTTGTTCATGCGAAAGCACGTTCTATGGGAAAAGGCCCTGAGAGAAGGAACAGCTCCTGAGCGAGGTCCAAGTGACCCAGTCCCCACAGGTGCTGAGCCTTGCTGAGCCTTCCAACACCCACAGGACAGGTCCAAGTGTCCAAAGGCTTAGCAATTTCAAAGGTTCGCGGTCTCTGGGCAAGGCACATCAGGGTGAGGATTGCACCTGGGACTGTCTCTAAACTCAACCCCAAGGCCTGAGGGGTCCCGCGCAAGACCTTGGCTCTTTGTTCATGGATCAAGGTCGAAAACGACCTTGTTGCAAACCAAATCGTTGGCGTTCGATTTCGCTTCAAGTTCCGGTCTCCCAACTTGAAGCGTTAGACAGCACGCTTCATCGAATCCGCACCGTTCTCCGCTTCGAGCCACGTTCGGAAACCGCTCCACCTGGTCCCACCGCCCCCCGCGACCGGCCGCTGCACCTCATCTACAAAGCGATCGTGGCAGCACGCCGTCTTGGCAGTAACCTCATCTGATCAAACCACTGAGGAAATAAGTCGAAGCGACGGCGACGAACGTATGAAATGGGTCAAGGTCAGATGATGTCAGATGTAAATGCTTCTTGAAGCAGGTCAGGTCCCTCAAATATGTTTTAGCATGTTTTAGCGTGTCCCTTGAGTGACCACACGGACATGTCTCCAGGCACATCCACAGCCGTGCCAGCCGGTGCTGCGGATCGGTCCATCTTCCAACCCCCCATCTTCCTGCCCCACCTTGACTTGGAAGGGTACATGTGGTGGATCTGCCAGAGCCATTAAAAGCCCATCCTCGCCGTGCCGTGCGCAGGAGGTCTTGGGAGATCTTTCCTTGACTAGGTGATGTCAGGACATGATGCCCCTGCAAAAAGCATCGAACAAAGGAACGACTGGATTGCAGCTTCTTGAGTGGTAACGGATTGACAACCCACCCCCCTCTATGATCAGAATGCGAATGGGCCAACTCTTTAGCATTTTTCGACTCCTTGGGATGTAAGCGTTTGAAGGAGAGTTCAGAGTAAGTGTATGGAAGTGGCACGGATGAAATGATGCGGGTAAAAAAGGAAGGTGGTTGGCTTTAACAAGGCATCCTTCAAAGGTTCCTTACGAAAGGGGGCCAACCTTTTCCCGCATCATTTCATCCATTCCTGTCTTTGGTCCAATCATGCAAATCTCGATCGGATTGACAGCAACAGTTCTCTGTCGAGCCCAGTCTTGCCCCCCTGAGATAGAGATGGAGAGCCTCTTCAACAAAACACCGTGGATCTGCACACATTCGCTAGTTGAAGCTCGACTGCTTGGTGGTGTCGTCGATTCGACCCGCTGACCGTCCGAACTGGCGCGAGGTGCCACGCGGTCCTCGACTCCCACACTGAGCCACGAATGATTTGCCAGGAACTTGAGTGGGACATAGTCGTTCTCCAGCCGGAAGGCAGCGATGGGGATCCGCACCTGCAACACAACACATCGCGGGTGAAAAGCACCATTTCGGCCGACCCATTTCTGGGGTATAAAGATGTACCAAGATTACCAAGTCCCAGCTCGTCTCGAGAGGTTTATTCATTCGCTTGGCACGGCGCATCGTGGGCTGCCCTGGAAGACTTGCGTCCGGTCGAAACGGAGGCCGAGAACTCAGAACTCAAGCACCACCCCGGCACATGAGAAGGTCAGACGGTTGTTCAGCAGCACAACCTGCTGACATCAGACATCAGAAATGGCATCTTTATCAGATGTCAATCGACTGCACGGATGACATTCACGGTCACATGATCCGATTGACGTCTCTCATCAGCTTTGTTGCCAGCTGTTTGGACCAGATGACAGACCACATACCCTTTTCTTGGTATCTAACGACCCACCTGCCCATTTTCATCAGTTTTCTATGTTTTCTTTGATACAACATGGTGCAACCAATTGGAGAGGAGCATTGTCCATTGCTGTTTTTCTCAATTTTGGGGCAGGGGATTCTCAAGAACTGCCATGTCCTCGGAGGCAGAATCTGGCAGCGACATTGGTCACTTTGTGGCGCGAACATTCAGTTGGACAGTGTGATTTTGCATTTCAGGGCACTTCCTTTCCTTTAACAGGACTCCTGCCACAACGCGCTAGCTGCATGTAACTTGCAGGTGGCTTGAAGTCCTCGAAAGATCCTTCCTTCCAGCGATGGACTAGCACTTTTTTTTCCTTTTCGGAATGAAACAGGTATTGGTAGATAGTTCCAAACAACATGCACTCCTTTTGTGCCCTGAAAAACAGGAAGACCCCCATACATCTCCCCATACATCGCCTGGTCCGTGCGGTCGAAGAGGCTGCGCAAAGGCACTTCCTGCATCGCTTGGAGGATGAGAGTCTGGACCAGCTCTGCCAAGAGGCGGATCTCATCATAGGCCGCCTGCAACCGATGTTCATGACCGGTACAAAAAAAACAGGCAAAGGGGTGCCTGCACCATCAGTCATGGCGCCACCCCTCGAGCTGCCCGCTTGATGAGTCTGGGCCGACTGCACAGGGGGCTGAAAACTGGAAGTTGTCCCTTTTTGAGACGACTGTGTTTACAGTATTTTATATTGGGTGATCCTGCCTTCCAGTAAGGGCAATGACTAGTTTTTGATGTGTTCTTGATGCATATTGTGATCCAACCTCAAGCCATGAGCGCAAAACTACCACAAAAGAGACCACGATCTTCACAGATTGGTATGCGGTATACCTAAAATATTCTAAAATACATCCAACAAGTCTGAGCCCAGAGATATCGTTTACGTCGGATTGGCCATGCATCTTGTCCCATGGCCGGGCATACTCATGGATTTTCTCAAATGTCGTGAACAATACAGAAAGACACTGTATATGAATATAATATACCAAATGCCTTCCAACAAATTTCAACAAAAGGTCCAAACATGCATTTCATTCAGACAACTCCTGGGTTACTGTCTTCCCAGAGCCATTGGAACACCGTCTTCACTTCGCCCGATTCGCGCCAGCTTGATCGCGACGCGGTTTCGGTGGCCTTGTGAGGATCCTGATAGGGATAGATCTTCAAGGTCTCGAAGTGGTGATGCATGTTGGTCACTTGACCACGACGCCTCTGCCGAAAAAAGGAACGCCACCGTATCGTTTCCGTCTCGGTGTCGTCTCCAAAGCGAGCTCGCAAAAAAGAAAGAACCGGGTGGATCGGGACCCCTTGCCTTTGCGACATCCCTTGGTTCACCGTTTCTTTCGACCTTTTGGAGATTCCAAAAGGGGTGCTTGGGTGCTTCTGAACTGGAAGAAGGCTGTGCTGAAGACTGGTGATGTCCTGCTGTTTCACTGATGAACCAGCACACCAGGAACTGTCGCATGTTTGGATGGGTGAGCAACATCTTAAAGAGCACGGCGCTCCACACAACCGTCCGTTCCAGACGGGGATGCAAACTGCAAACTGCAAGATGGCAATGGCAATATTGTTCAATAATCTTCAATCGCTTTCACGGTTGCGCCTGGACGGGGTATGACTAACGCAAATCACAATCTGAATCTCGTGGACTTCTTCGTGGTGAGGTTGCAGCTTGCACCACTAAGATATGATACACATGTATATATACATGTGTGTATAAATATATATAGACCCACACGTGACCAATGTAGCCTCGCCTCTGAACACATAACAGGGTGTTGACCAAGTGGGAGTTGGAGTGGCTGGCCTGATCCCACTGAAAGAATTTCAGACATACCCCGCTTGCTTCAGATTCCGGACTCGCCTCACGAACGTCGATTGTGCTGAGAGATGTTCGATGGCCATTGCTGCTCCGCGGCTGGTTCTGGAGTCCTCACGCTGGCCGTTTTGGCCGAAGGCGGGCGTCTATGGCCGGAGCTTGGAAGCGAAGGCAGCACTGGCGACCGTGGATGTCGTGCGAACACGTTCGCACATACCAACGAGCTGCTCTGCCCCTTCCCTAGCTGAATGAGATTATCAACCTGCAATAATATGAAGACTAATAGATTAGATAAGTTTCTGAACACAGTCAGTGAATCTTGGTTGCAAGTTGTAAGAGCTACAAACATGTTCAAGATCCACACGGAAACGGCGCCGAAACAAACTTTGTGTTCTCGCTTCTTTTTGGAGTACCATGGGGTAATTACCGTGATGATTGTCATGCTTTTCCCAACACAGTTTTTTCGGTGTCAAACAAACACATAGGAAGATCACGTCCCGAAAAAGGCTCGTCCTCGAGCCAGTGCTTGTGGGTCTCCCACGGCTGCTGGGGTCGACCATCGTCCATGCAGTCGCATCGCTCGTGACAAAAGCCCGGCGGATCAGCGCAGCCATAGCCTTTCGGGTACTCCTCGGCCGGGCGTCCGTTCCACCAGGCGAGACGGGGTGTCTCGGTGTGGCGAAATCGGATCATCGGGGCCCATGCCGTGGATAATTTTGGTTGGCAAGACGGTCCAGGTTGTCTATAGATATCTTTCATGAGGGAATGTTCGAGTAGACGTCCAGATAAATATTTCAACGACCTTCAAGGCCTTTTCATGCCTTTTTCATATTTCTGCATTCATATTCCCTGCAGTGGCTGCATCTCTCCGTCCTGAGGTCTCTTGGGCCAGCCCTCGCGGATGTTCTCCGGCAGCAACTCCTGGCGCCACGCCACGGTCGCGGTCGGCCACCCAGAACCAGTCAGAGGATCCAGAACCCATCGAATGGTCGCCCAGAATGGCGTTCCCCGGATAGATCGCTGGCCCAGTGTGAGATGGTGCCAGCGGGATTTGGTGCCAGATAACTCCGGGGGACCCATTTGGTGACCCAGTCTTCGGGGTTCAACAAAAGAAGTTGAGAGTACTCCCAAACCCTGCCGGACAAGTAGACCTTACGAACCAGACCTGAGCTCCCTGGGTCTTGTCGTTCTACAAACATGGGTGAAGCTCCGCCTGGATCCTGGGGCGGATCAAATATTCACACTCGCAAGCACACTACTCATGGTCGAGGCACGGGCTTGAAGTCATGGCCGAGTTTGAACTGGAACATGTCCTTAGTCATGGCATGTCATGGCCAACTTTATCACTCACTCTTCTTGCAAAAGTCCTTTGTTAAGTTGGTGCACTGGATGATGATCACTCCGTTCAGCTTTTTCAGCTTACTGAAAACATCTCCAAATCATACCATCACTCTGAATCAACCGGAGGCCATCCCCAACTTCGCCAAAACACTTCGTTCTTCCTCTCGTTCATCAGCATCGGAAACCTCTCCTTTCCTTTATTTGGTTTCCTTCGGTCGAGCTTCGGCGCACAGCGGTGACATGTCGCGCTGCCAGCGTCGCAGCTTGGAAAGAGGCTCACTGTGCGAGGCCCGGTGACTCGCCTTGCGCTTCTCGCCATTACGAAGCTCGGGAGCCTCGGCTTCCTGGGGCAACCGGAAGAAGGACTCAGGGGGCTTTTTGGTCCTGGGATCTCTTCAATCTTGAGACGCGTCGGTTTTGGTTCTTCTATTGTTCATGGTTCATCATGCTTCTACATCATTCTCGAAGTTTGGGTGCCACTCCCAGCAAGACATCTGAGACATCTGCTATGCAGCTACTGTATGCTGGTTCTTCTCTTCTGATCTCCTCTTCTTTTCTCCCCACAGTCACCCACCCACCCACCCACCCACTGCGCCGCGCCGAGGCACTGCCCTCTTCCGCTGGATCCAGCTGCGCTTCTCCCGCAAGCGCAGCTCATCCAGGTGCGGCGGTAGGCACTCGTCCGGCTCCCAGGTGGCGCTCGGCAACCCACAGCCGTTCGGCTCCTGGCAAGAAGCTACTAGGAACAAGTGCATCGCTAGTAGTAACAAGTGCCTTACTAGTAGTAACAAGAAGCTATTAGCTTATTGTTTCTACGTTCGCTTCTTGTTACTACTAGTAAGGCACTTGTTACTACTAGCGATGCACTTGTTACTACTAGCCGTTCGGCTCCTGGGAAGAAGCGGAGAACGAGACACGAAACGGGTGGATGGATGGATGGATGGTGGGTAGCAGGGATGTGGATGTGGATGTTGGGACATGCTGCCGTGCCTTGCAAACAGGAAAAGGGATGAACCATGATGAAATCAAATGAACAAGAGATAAAAAGAGTGGGTTCCAATGAGGAATCTGAGCTGCCTGTGGCATGGACTCTTGAGCAATGCAATACATCTTGCATGCATGAAGCCCGAAGCCTTTTGCCATCCTGACCAGCATCTCCGAGCTACGAAGTGAACAAGCTTCAATCTGTGTCCTCGCTTGTGTCTCACTCTGAAGGGATGCCAAACACATGGGGCCCCGACTGTCCACTTAGCTTTTGGGGCCCGCTTCGACGACGGTGCATGATGAACCGCAAACGCATCACCCCCGGTCGACGCTGGGAGTGGTCCATCGGAACGGGTGTGGAACGACCAGATCAACGCCGAGCAGGTCATGTACCGGAGATTCTGAGTACCAGGTCATGGGCTTTGACGACAGCAGACAACATAAGTCTTAAGTGTCCCTTTTTGAACACTCTTGAGAGCTAGGACGAACAGATCCTCCACAATCCGCCAGTTTCACTTACCAGAAAGATCCAGATCATAACCGAAACTTTGACTGTGTTGGCTGATTAATGATTCAAAAGGAAGGTTCCGGTAGAAGTAACAAGGGCATCGCTACTAGTAGCAAGGTGCCTTACTAGTAGTAACAAGAAGCTACTAGCGTCTCCAGGGCTCGGGTCGTTCACGTCCCGCCACCTTGGCATAATCCACTCTCTCGTAAGGAGTGTCCCACAGGACCTCAGGCGCAGGACAGGACTCTACCCGAAGCATCGAGTGTCCCGGCGGATTTAGCATGCGTTTCCCTTAGTGTGCGGATGCAAATACACTTCCCAACTGGGCAGGCTTGCCAGCATCTGCTTTCAAAGAGCCAGTTACCACAGGTTTGGAAGATGAGGACCTCTACAAATGGGGAGGACCTGGACATGTGTTGGAAGCGGAAGAAAGGTCAGCACCTGCTCGCTAAGCCAGAGCCGAAAGCCAGGTGAGTGGAGCAGCGCGATAAAGACATTGTTTTTGGATGCATTTTCCTCTACTCCATGATTGGTGGTGCAAGCAAGTTGACGGTGTAAGTGTTATTGGTATGACTGAAGCTTACTGCCCAGAGGGATTGAAAGAGAACGCAGGAGGCTAGGGCTCAAACATACGTTGCTTTCCAAAAGGATAAAAGGACACGTGAAGACCGGTCCAAGGGTCAACGAGGATTCATTGCTGCTTCCGAACTCCCCAATCATACAGTACTATGTGTGGTGTTTCCCTACCCAACCAGGGTCTCCTCAAGAATATGTTCAACTCATGGAATCGACCGACCTCTCTTACCTCGGCCAAGGCCTCCCAGGCGTTTTTCTTTTCGCTCGGCTGAGACACGAGATAGAAATCCTGGTAGAGACTGAACTCATGAAAGGCCTCCCAGGGTGGCCTCAGAATTGGCCACCCTACCAGGGTGGTCACATCCACTGGGATTCCTGAAACCTGGCCTTTGTGAATCATGGGAGTGAGATGGGGTGAGTAGCTTGGTCAGGAGTGTGGTTTCATGAGTCCTGAGCTGCATCCCATCTCATCACTCACACGGATTCAAGAGTCCACGAGGTTTTTAGAAGATCTCATCACATCTCATCACCGAGACAAAAAAATGGAATCGTGCTGCTCATCATGCTGTTTCCTGTCCGTGGTCCATCATCTTTAGATCATCTTTTCATTCATGGAATCCATCCTCCCTGTCGATCATGCTGTTTCCTTTGAAGCCGCGTTGGTGGATCCACCCCATGCTGGTCTCTACGCTCTGGAGGAGTTTGCCCTCATCAAGAATCCATATGCGGGACTTGGGGACAATGAGCACTGGAACTCCCAATCCAATGTTCTGCAAAAATTATTTTGGGGGTCAGTAAGTCTTTGAGAAGGCTTGAAGTCATACACATCTGAATGGTGGTTTCAACTCGAAAAACATGAGTCAGTGGGATCAACATTCATCCCGGATAGGTTGCAGGGTTAAAGGCACCACAAAAATCTGAAAACCACCACCAGGTCGTTGGAATCCAGGTCTCATGTAGCCGGACAGGGTCTTGATCTTCCAGAAGCCAGAGGGAATATCGCCTCCACTCACCAGCTTGGACACCCTGTTCTCCTGCGCGCGCGAATTTTTTGGCGCAACGAGTCCCATCTGTGCGACGACCACGGTGGACGGCCCACATCACATACTGCTGGAACAGCAACACACACACACAGGGACCTACCACCATCTCACATATATTTGGATTGGTACTGACTTTCTCTCCAGACTCTTAGCCCAATAATAGGGACGCGGGTGAACAGATCCTTACCAAACTCAATTAAAGGGAAGGACTTGCACCATCTGCAAGTCCAAACACAAGCACTTGAATGATGGGAAGTAAGAAGAACTCCAGTACACACACAAAAGAAGGCAGAGATATATGATAATATATGAAATATGCAGACTGCATTGAGGAGAAACTCAGGGATCTCCTTCTCCTTCTCCAGCAAGCCACGGCGCCGGAAGTTGTGCTGAACTCCCTGGAGGTCAATGAACTTGGACCCAGTCACCGCCTCGTTGAGGAGTCGTTGCTCCACGTAGTTGATACCTCGGGTGCGAGGGAATACCCGGCGTTACCTGTCTGAGATGCTTCCGAAGAGACCCACAGAATATTGATGTAATGAGAAGGGACAACGCCAAAAAACGACGCATCGCAGGGTGTTGAAATGCTCTGCACTGGATCCAGAATGTTTTTTTAAAACATCTGAAAAGACCGAAGAAAAGGGAGGCAGCTCACTTTCGCGCACCATCTCGAACTCAGATTCGCACACACAGATCGATGACCCTCCGATGCCTCTGGTCGATCCGAGATCTTGGCGTTCGGAGGCGGGCAACGGACTCTGTTGAACCCTAAGGAAGCGACGGACTTGTGCTCCTAGTAGTAAGGCCAGGAGCCCCTAGTAGCGTCCTTTGCTTCTAGTAGTAAGGCCAGGAGCTCTTTTGATCTTAGATCTCCATCCTCCATCGTCCTCCTCCTTCAATCTCCTCCTCCTTGCACCTAGCATGCATGATGCAACACTTTTACAGGCTAGCAGCTGTAGGACAAGGAGGACATCCGTGCCATCTGCTGGGTCAGCACCGTCTCGAAGTCTCGTGTCATCCAACCCACTGGCACTTTGGAGTTCTTGATCGCTTGTAGAATCAGCACGCCCTGCATGCTGATTGGCATGGACATGCCAATGGATCGGGATCGGCAGGAGGCGGTTTTGTGTGGATGAAAAATTGTGAAAGAGCATGAAAGAGCGGAGTTTCTTTTTAGGGTTTCGCTTGGGCAATATGCAGGGAGAAGGGTGTGACTTCTTGAGCCCCTCTCACCCTGACCAATTGTCTGAAGTCTGCGTGGGACTGACTTGATGTTCTGTCGCCCCCTTCGCAAGCATGACAAGCCACACTCCAAACATATCGTGCCTATTGAATAGGAGAGACCCCCAAAGAGACCAAATCCACTGATTTCATCATATTTCATCATGTACGATCATGTAATCTTATACAGGGAGTCCACCTCAATACACAGCCAGCCACATCATCTTCTGAGGTGCAACATGCTGAAACACTCATGTGTGTCGGTCGCCTCAAACCAGTGGAGGATGCGGCTCTTGGGCACTTCCTCTTTCCGGCCATCTTGACCTTGGTTGCAACGCTTGAGCGAAACACACCGCAAGATCCGGTAGAATGCGCACTGAAGTCAGCTCGGTCCTACCCGCCTGCCTGGCTGTTTGGATGAATGGAACATTGTGTTCGCCGGACCCAGGCTAACTCTGAGAATGAAAATCATAAAGAAACAAAATAAAAACAAAAAGCAAATGAACAAGAACAAACAAAACATACAAATCCAAAATACAAAAAAGAAACACGCAAATGAAAATAAACACCAAAAAACACACATCCAGAATACCCCAAAAATACAAATGAAAAAGCAAAAGCAAAAAACAAATCCAACAAGCAAACAACACATGAACGAGCAAAAACAAGAAACACAAAAAGACAACACAACACAAATGAAAAAACACATGGCGTCCTTTTTTTACAGAGCATTTTTCGCTTTTTTGTTTGCCTTTTGCTGTATCGTGTTTCTTTTTTTACATTTTTTTTCTTCGACTTTTTCGTTTTGGCGCCTTTCGGGGACGCCTTTTATTTTTTTCTGCTTTTTTTTCCGCATTTTTTCGCTTTTACCTTTTCATTTGTGTTTTTGCTTTTTGGATTTGTTTTTTTTGCTTTTGCTTTTTCATGTGCATGTTTTTTTATTTTTTATTTTGTTTTTTTGCTTTTGCTTTTTCATGATGTGTTCTTTTTGCTTTTTCATTTGCTTTTGCTTTTGCTTTTTCATTTGCATGGATTCGTCATTTTTTTGCATTTATTTGTAGTTGCCTTTTTGTTTTTTATTGTTTTGCAAAACCATCAGAGAATAAGCTAAGTGGTTAACATAAGTGAAGCACCAAGGTCCAAAGCCCAAAGTTCTTCGCAAGAGTCTTGCCATCCCAAAAGAGCATTGACAGTCCCTGCGGCCCAGATGATTTGCAAATATTTGCAAAAACCCCTCCTGAGGAGTTGATTCTCCTGAATTGACTGGCGATCTCCACAACAACATTCAACATGCAACACGCTCTTGCCTGATCTGATCCCAAACCTTCACGTTTTGGCCGTTAGGCCCTCCTGAAAACATTCAACTGCCAGTGGCGTTCGATCAACACAATGCCGGCATTGTGGTCCAGGACGGTGGCCCTCGAGATCTGAGCCACCTGGACATGAAAACACCGCTTCCAACGGGTCATAGGCGGGTTGGAGTGGCCCACGGGATCGTTGGGCTGGGATCATTTTCCACAACTCATGTGTCAGGGAAGAAAAACAACCAACAAATAGCAACAATGGCTTCGCTGGTGCGCTTTTGAACACCCTCTTATTGAGACAATGTGGACCGGCTTTCCAAGCGAATCACACGCGATTCACAAAGTCATAATGGCAATGACGTTGTGAAATCAATGCATATCAATGCTTCAGTCAACAACTTGTTCATACAGGTGTACAATTGAATCAAGCGAAAATAGACCAGGTCACCCCATTGGTTCCTACCTGGATACCTATTCCACTCCGTTCCAATCCTATTCTCATCCCTATTGCCACGCTCCGCTCCGCTCGAGCGGTCCCGCCTCGGGCCCGGTGAGATCTTGGATCCGCCGCGCCAGGTCCGGGTCCACCGGGAGCTCCCCTGGATGAACGAAGTCACCTCGGTGACGACGACCGTGACGAGCCGAAGGGTCTGACGTCCGACCGAAGTGTCGAAGTCTGGGGCTGGTGACGCCGTTCGGCGTGGGCTGAAGGGTCTAGTTTTGGGCATGCCCTTGTTACGTTCGTAGCTTCCTAGTTACTAGTGAAGGCCTCCAACCTAATAGCGATGGCCACCTAGTAGCTTCTTGCTACCAGTTGTCTTATTGTTTGAGACATCTTGTTTTGGATATTTCCATATTTAAGGTGTGACCGTTTGTCAATTTGTGTCGGGGGATCGGGGCCCTCAATGATCTGTCAAAGACATTCAGTTCACCGCTGGTGCAAAATCTGCTGGGCTCAGCGCCATGTTCCGAGAACCCCCAAGCCCTTTCGGCGACGCCGGCTCCAGCCACCTTTTACATGAAAGGAGTATCCGACTGGGTGCCACACAGACATAACCAAAGTGACTTGTGGTCACTGGAGATATCCAACCCTACCAAAATGGTTTGACTCCCCTTCTAGAACCTTTTCCCTCCTATGTCCAACGCTGCAGGACGAGAGAAGGAAGGACATGAGGGTTTAGCAACAGTACGGCTAGAAAGTGAACTCATTAACAGTAACAGTTTCGCGCTTCTTCCGTGGATCCTCCCATCTGCGGAATGAAGGCAACGCTCTTTTCATCTGCAACCCTCTTTTCATAGCTGGCAGATGACATGCCCCAGTCGGCCATGCCAGTTCGTTGGCACATCCGTTCTTTTTAGAACGTGCACCAATGTCTTCAATGCATGACTTGCAACAACAGGGAAAATTCAGCTAGTGCGCAAATCTATTTTGTACAAAATAGACTTGCCAGCTATCTGAAATTTTCCTGTCAAGATCTGAGCCAAGCTGAAGAGGTTTTTGCTGCAAAGCTGCTCCAGCAGTTCTTGGTTCTTGCCCTTTTCCCGACCTCTTTCAGCAAAAGAATGAGCTTGCCATCTTGAACTTGTGTGATCAGTGACCAACAATTCTTCTGTATTGTTGACTGCTTTCTTCGGATCCCTGGACTGCGAAAGATGTTTTCGCATCATCCTTGAAGGTGATTCCAATTTCCTGCTGTCGATACTCGAAGACGTCACGGACAGAATGTTCTGGTCAAGGCGGCCAGAAACGAGTACAGTATACTCATGTGTTGGTAAAGACCAGAAACGCGCATACTCATAGCATACTCGTTTCTGGCCTTTCCCGGCACATTCTTTACTCCTTCATGGCCTGTCCCTCAAGCGGAGCGAGCAAATCCGCTTGTCTGATCCTTCGAGGCATTCTTCCAGCGAGGAGGTTTGTGCGTCTGGAAGTGTTCCATCATGCTGGAAGATTGTTTTGAAAGCCGGACACCGATTTTGTGAGTGATCCATAGATGTGAAACCTATACAGTCCATACAAGTCCATCATCTTTCTTGTGTGGATATGCATGCACCAAGTGGTTGCTTCTTGTTTCTGCACGACTGCAAATGACTACAAGTCCCTGAGTCGTCTTGAACCGACAGGCGAGGGGTTCATGCCATACGCTTTACCCTCCAGCACTCATGCAGGACGATGAGATAACACACAGATACACAAAGAGAGTCCTGAAAGAGTGCAATGTCGTGCTCATGGAACGGGAACGAAACAGGCTCTTGTTTCAAGCGACATGGTGTGAAGATGTGTGAAGTATTTATGTCGCCCAGCTTGTGTGTATCCTATTCCCTGTAACAGTGGATGATAATGGTTAGTAAAGGCCTTTACCATGTTTTTTGTTAATACTATGTGATAATTGCTTACACTCCCGATAACTAACATAGACCCTGACAATGGCCCCTGGAAAAGTTTTTTCAACCAGTGAATTTCAGGGTCTATGTTAGTCTTCCTGGGTGTAATTACCGACTGTCACAGGTAACAATAGGACCCCCCAAAGCCTAGCTATCAATCTATTCCACTCTGTTTGTCAACCTATTATTCACCTGTCCATCCATGTCAACGAGTGGCCTGTTGCACATGCTACGCGACCCTTGTGCGCATCTCCCGCAAACCCTGCGACGCACCCAAAACGGCTCCTTGAGAGAAGACTGACATATAGATGTTGACTGCTAAAGCTTTGACATCAGGTTTTGGTGATGTTTGGTCATGGCACACATAGGGAAATCCATTCCAAAACCAGCCACCAATCTGGAAATGCGGAGTAGGAGGACTGCTTCAACACTCCTCAGGTTCTTTCGGGCGATCTCAAGGTGAAGCGGCGCCAAATGAGGTCGACGCCAACGAAATACGGTGCATCTCAGTCGCCCTGAACCGCATCCCAAACCCAAACCTGTTTGTCACCCATGGCGTAACAGCGGCTATAGCGCGATGCAGAGATCGATTCCAAGACATGTGCAATTTTCGATGCCCATCGTTCCGGCGTTTGTGCTCGCAAACTGAAGAGAATGAGATGGGATATGCATGAAACTTTGATGGCACCCTCGAACTATATCATGTTTTAATTTTGGCCATGCAAAGCCTTTTGGGGCCTATACGCTGCCAATACATGCTTCTGTTCTTCGACTTGAGCCGGCCATGTCTCCTATGCAAATGAGATCAAATGAGGCACAATCAACGCGGCATCAGCATCTTGTCGAGTCATGTTATGTTGACGAGCGAAAACGCTCCACCCTCCTTTCATCTGCTTTCCCTTTGACCAGTTTTTTCTATCGGGTCTCCCTGTTTCAAGACACATCTAATCATTCTAATCCAACACTTCTGCAATCATAGGTGCCCTCAATTAGATACAATGCCACGCTACGCAACTACTTTTCCCTGCAACCAGAATGCTTTCTGGGCTCTTTTAGTCCTCTAACCACCCCTGCCTGGCCAAGCTTTCCTATATACTCCGGACTCCAAACCTGCAGATCAACAAGTCACGGCGAGAAACTGCATTCCTGTGCTTCGCTTCGCACGAGGCCGGTCTTTTCACATCTGCAGGAGTTTGTTAAGCTGGTCGTTGTTCCAGCCCACTTCTGGCATGTGGCCTCAGGTGTGAGGCATTAGGGCCTCCAGTCAAAGGAACCGCACGAACTTCCCAACTACCTCAGATTTTATGGCAATTTCTTAGAGCCATCCACACTAGCACAGCATCCTCTAGGACTTGGGGAGGGCGGAAGTGGTGTAGTGTAGTAGGACTCCTCCGGCAGTCTCCTTTCAAAGCGTCTGCCCTCGGCAGAGTCCGGGCTTTTGGGACACACTGCTACTGAAAGAAACTGCTGAGTGTCCTCATCTTTGCGTCCTCACTTTTGCATCTCACTCAGTGAACACAGTTCATAGAATTATGGGATGAACAACAAGTTGACCAAATGAATCACTAGGCATTTTACAGGGAATCTCACAGACTCCAGATTCCTGATGTTGACTGGGTGCAACAAAAAACTTTGCCTGTTACACGAAGGATTCGTGTGTTGATGCTAATGATTGCTAATGATGCCAATGAAAGGGTCTACCAATCAGTAATGGTCCAATGAATAGGATGCCTTGCTTCCCTACATCATTTTTCCTTGATTGATCTCACCATCACCCGTGATCATCCGCGGCACAGGCGTCCCTGCCATGGGGTGCGAATGCCTTCATCATCTGAACCACACCCTGGCATTCGATGGATCTGACCCATCAGCAGGCCCTTGGGCCGGTCAATGACTGGAAGCGTCAACGACCGGTCAATGTCTACCTGACTTTTTCATCGTTCTCTTGGAACCAGGGCGAACAACCTCAAGTTATCTCAGGTTTGGAGGCGAAAACCTGACCACTCTCCCAGAAAATCATCACACACACACTTCCATCTGGTGCGCCTCACTGCTTTCCCCATGCGCCTCACTGTGTCTTTTGTTTTCATCCATTTCATATCACTTCACATGGACATCTTTGGATTGGAGGGCAACACCACCCAGATTCCCCGAAATCCTTCCCCTCCGGACCGAGCAAACTATTGTGAAACAATTTCTAAGAATCGTCTCCGTCTCCTTGGCCAACTCCACATAACAAAAACGTACAAAAACACACATTAGGTATCATTAGGTCAACAAAGATCACACGAGTGGATGAACATACGATATTTTTCGGAATTACAGTATATACTGTAATTAGATAAACACAGAGATCACGTTAGTTCAGAGATCACGTGTATTTGAAGTGACAAATGTGGCTGATGTGTGCCCATCGGCCCCGCAGTGACGGCCTTGGGACTACCCTCGAAGCCATACCTGTGTCCAGCCAGCTGAGCACAAACGGTTTCCAAATCTTCGGCATTTCAATGCATTTCACGCATGTAGCATGGCAAAAGTAAACCTCCCATTCATGGTTCTGCTGCAGTTGTAAAGCCGCTTTTCTTATTCTGATGCAAAGTTTGATCTTTCCCGATCAAAACACTCTCTGTCACTCTTCAAGCAAAGCTTCTGTCCCTTGCATATCACAGCAGACTTTCAGAGGCATGCTTGCTTTTCACCGCGTCTTAGCCTTCATTTTAGTATCTCAAGCTGTGCATGATTGCTGGAACGAAACATCTCGACTCGAGTGGAGTCCGGGCGTCCCACGGAGTCCGGGTTCACCCCGTTCCGCCTGGGCAGAACGATGCTTTGCACCGTCAAGAAGAGCTCGTTGCCTTGGTGTGTCTGTGTGTTTTTTCTGTGGCGAGAGAACTAAAGAGGGCGATCCATGTACCGTGACCCAACAGATTAACACCTAAAAACACATGGGCCCCTTCTTGGATCTGGGGCCTATGAACCTAAGGAGAGAAGGTCCATGTCGATCCACGAGATCAAACTCCGAACTACTTCCGAAGCGAAGGCGGAGGCGAACTCAGGACTTCACCGGTTGGGCTGGATGGGCATTGAGCAAACTCGGGGCATTGAGCGAACTTCACCATCGACGGCAACACCATGACGGCTATGAAATTGGACCGGTGGGTTTCTTTGGGCGCTTGTAACTCGGAACACACCAAATCTGTGCAACTCTGCAGTTGCCTCCAGCACAAGTGGCAAACATAATACTGGGAGCTTTTTCCCTGCCCACTAATTGTATCTGGGTGAATTAAACTAATTTCATTAATTTCGTTCACCTCCTACCTCGTCTTAATTCAATGTTTTGAAATTATTCACCTCGCCTCGTTTAATTTGAATAATTTCAGTCACCTCGTCTGCCTGCCTGCCTGCCTGCCTGGCTCCTGGCAGGCTGGCTGGGTGGGCTGTCTGTCTGTCTGTCTGTCTGTCTGTCTATCTGTCTTCTTGACCCCCAACCAGCACACGCACCCCTTGGGAGGGACGTGGCTAATCGGGGTTTGCTTGTGCTTGGCTGGCACGAGTGAGCGGGTGGGTGGCTCCAAAGCCTTTGAAAAAAAGTGTTCTCTTGAGGGGGGGTGGTCTATGTTTAATTGAGCTGCAAGGCGCAGATTTCCTGACCTACTTGGGCTGGCTAGGGCCTGAGACAACATCAACAAGGCTGCAAACCAATCCACAGTCGTGAAACCCTATTTCGCAAAAATAGGGTTGTTTCATGGGGCTTGCCTGTTTGAGCTGTTCAGCACAGTTTCCATGCCTAGTGGGGCTGGCTAGGGCCCGAGACAACATCAACAAGGGTGGAAACCAATCCACAGTCCTGAAACCCTATTTCGCAAAAATAGGGTTGCTCCATGGGGCTTGCCTACTTGAGCCGTTCAGCACAGTTTCCATGCCTAAGACAACATCAACAAGGCCGCAAACCAATCCACAGTCGTGAAGCCCTATTTCGCCAAAATAGGGCTTTTTCATGGGGCTTGCCTGTTTGAGCTGCTCAGTACAGTTTCCATGCCTAGTAGGGCTGGCTAGGGCCCGAGACAACATCAACAAGGCTGCAAACCAATCCACAGTCGTGAAACCCAATTTCGCCGAGATAGGGTCGTTTCATGGGGCTTGCCTATTTGAGCTGCTCAGCACAGTTTCCATACCTAGTGGGGCTGGCTAGGGCCCGAGACAACATCAACAAGGGTGGAAACCAACCACAGTCGTGAAGCCCTATTTCGCCGAAATAGGGCTTTTTCATGGGGCTTGCCTACTTGAGCTGCTCAGCACAGTTTCCTGACCTAGTGGGGCTGGCTAGGGATTAAGACAGCATCAATAAGGCTGCAAACCAATCCACAGTCGTGAAACCCTATTTCGCCAAAATAGGGTTGTTTTATGGGGCTTGCCTATTTGAGCTGTTCAGCGCAGTTTCCATGCCTAGTGGGGATGGCTAGGGCCTGAGACAACAGCAAGAAGGTTGCAAACCAATCCACAGTCGTGAAGCCCTATTTCGCCGAAATAGGGTCGTTTCAGGGGGCTTGCCGTTTAGAGCTGTGCGGCTCATGATCCTTACTTACTAGGCCTTGGTAGGTTGGGAAACCAGGCCAAAACGGCGGCGAACCAATCAACCGTTGTGAAGCCCAATTTTTGCCCAAAAGGGTTTGTTTTAAGGTTTGGAACTAGGGACCCAAATTGCCAAATTGACGCGCGAGCGGCCTAGTTGGAAACACCGCAACCGTCGTAGCGCGAGGCTCAGGCTCGACCCCACTCTCTGGAAACTTTTTCTCTTTTCCCACGTTGCGCGCGCGCGCGCGTGTACGTTGCGCGCGGGTCGGGAGTGCTTAAGTGAGAAGGGCGTTTCCTTACCGACTGATCCACAGTCGTGAAACCCTATTTCGCCAAAATAGGGTTGTTTTATGGGGCTTGCCTATTTGAGCTGTTCAGCACAGTTTCCTGACCTAGTGGGGCTGGCTAGGGCTTGAGACAACATCAACAAGGGTGGAAACCAATCCACAGTCGTAAAGCCCTATTTCGCCAAAATAGGGCTTTTTCATGGGGCTTGCCTACTTGAGCTGCTCAGCACAGTTTCC